GTAACTATTATTTTAGCGCTGCAGCGAACTTTAGTTCTTGCTCTTATATGTCTCTTCTATACGTTAGTAATATAGTTCGATGTAATCGTCCATTTAATTTAACACTTGAAAGAAAAGCGCATTAACCGCGTTTGGCCCAATCCGACAACACACTTTTAAGTGTACTTACGATCGTAGACCAACAAGGCAGTTAATAATAGACAACAGTAAAAAGTAATGGTAATAGCATAATACCTCAATGTTAAGTGTCACTTTTAGTGTAGGTAGCAGGGTGGGAAATCCACTACCGAATACCATCCCCTGGGTATTTTAAAATGACAGAGGAAAACAGATCAGATGGTAAGAATTAGCAGTATCTTCTTAATAACCATTAAAAAATAAAAACCTGCGGTTGCTAACCTTCTTGCCAAGCGTGGCAACTATGGCAAAATACCCTCTATGAGACAACCTATGGGGTAGGCCTATATTCAGCAGTGAACTTTAATAGGCTCTAACGGTAACTATAAGTGGCACTTAACGTTTATTTAATTATTATATTTCTCTATTAGCGTTAAAGATTATAGAAAGTCAACATGACTATAGTCAACCAAATCTAAGATATACCTTTTGACGTTTCACATTAATCATTGCGCAATAACTTTGCACAAGCGTATTCATATGATTTACAGTAACCCTTTACCTAAATCCGAAGAATTCTGAAGTTATCTATATTTAATTACAACGTGTTTAGTTTTTTATCACTAATTTAAATTCGAATCTTTCAAACAAAGCAAAATATTTACAAAAAATGACCAGTATCAACTTTTTTACTTGACGTCGTTTCGATGATATGTCGCTATGTACCTTACCGTAGTGTTTGGATGATTAAAATTCATTGATATGCGAATAATCGGCACACCACCCACAGCCACATTAGGAAGATGCTGCCGCCCATCTCTTGGTTTGTTTCCCTCTGTCGTCTTTTACGACACTCAGGGTACGATATTGGGTTGTGGATATTCTTACACTGCCATTACACGGTTCATTAATATATTTTTTATAAAATAAGAAGGGTGACAAGGGTGGATGCTGTGGCACAAAGATTCAAATAATCGTTAAAATTATTCAAATTATCGAATCATTAATTTTTTAAATGTATTATTTGTTTAAATAAATTTTTATTTTTAAAATACCTTAAATTACATGAATCATGAATAAAACAAGTTTATTTTTTTACTTTGTCAACGTAAAGGACAATGGCGAACTCCTAATAATAAATTTTAGTTGACTTTTTTTCTTGCGTCTACAAATGCAAAATATGTAAAAATATAGTTTAAAAATCCTGAACATTTTTTTCTTCGGTCATACTACTGTAATTCAGGAATCAGAGTATAAAACGCCTTAACTGGCAAATCGTTACAACAAAAACTAGTCAATATAATTATGATATATGTTTATATAAGGTAGTTACAAGCATAGAGGGAATCCTTAAAGAACGCATTAGTATACAGGGTGTCCGGTAATGAATGGATAACCTTGAAATGTCTTATAGTACAACTTATGGCCGTCCTGAAAAAAATACGAAAAATAACATATCACAAGTAGTACCTTTGATATATTTTTTTTTAAAGAAAAGTCGATTCTTTTATATCTTATTTTACTGTCTTGAACACTATGACCAAAAATGAATGATTTCTATTGGTTTTTTGTTGTATTATTATTATACACTAACTGTGCTTATAGGTAAAATGTAAACAATATGAATAGCTTTTGCAGTTTTTATTTAAAAAATTCGCAAATCAATTTATTTCTGAAAAACATGCAAAAAATATTATTTAAGCGAAGTTCAAACCTCTTCGGTATGAAAAAAATGTATGAATGTATGGGTGACCAATAATTTTACAATAATATCGGTTTCGTGTAGATTTTATAATGGTATAATTCATAAATGTATCTTCCATAAATAGTGACTTATTGCCATTAATGTAGAAAAGGAGAAAATTTGACTAAGTAACAAAATTTGTAACATGGGAACATTTTCTAAATTGAATTGTCTCTGATCATTGGGAATTAATAAAAACACATCAGGAGTTGATCATACATGAAAACAGCTATTTTTAAACAAATTGAAACCGAATTAAGTATTAGAAATTAACTTATTTAAATGTAATAAAATAACCAATTTAAATCTTGAAATGGTTACTTTACTAGCGTGAAATGGGTCGTGTGACCTTCATATTTGCTACCTGCTGCCTTTTGTGTTAAACAAAGAGAGGTCTGAATTGGGTAAGTGGGAGAGAGAAGAGCTAAATGTAAAAGAGAACTTAGTGCGTCACACGACCTGCTCGACTTCGCATGTATTTATTTTGTCTCCTTTGCAATTATTTAAATCAGTGTTAAAACGACCACTTGGCTATTTTACCGGACTATTTGTTTTTATTATTGATTTGGACTTGTTTTGCGTTTGGTGATATTTTCGACGATTTGGCTTGTTTCTGGACTAAACTGGACTTTTGTGTACCTATCAAAATGCCACGTCATCAGTACACGGCACAAGAATATGCAAACATGCATTTTATTTATGGAGAATGCAGAGGCAACGCAAATGCAGCCGCAGCTCTTTATAGGGAGAGGTACCCTAATGATCGCCACCCAGACTGGCGTGTATTTATAAGAGTCCACGGTTGTTACTCTGAAGGAAGAATGCCGGGTAGTGGTGTCGGTGGTGCTAGCGCTGGAAGAATCGCTCGTCCTGATGTAGAAGACGTGGTGCTTGAGGATATTGAAAACGATCCTTCAACCTCTACGCGAGCAATAGCTCGACGCACAGGTATTGGAAAATCGACCGTACACGATATTTTAAAGAAAAACGAATTCCACCCTTACCACGTTACACGCGTGCAAACTCTCCAACCAAGAGATTATCTCTCAAGAGTGCGTTTTTGCCGGCAAATGCTGGCAAAGATGGAAGAAGACCCGCAATTTTTTAATAAAATTTTGTGGAGCGATGAGTCAACGCTTAAAAGAGACGGTTACTTAAATTTACACAATTTACATAGTTGGGAACTAGAAAATCCCCATCTTATGCGTGAAGACAGGTCACAATACCAATTTAAAATAAATTATTGGACCGGAATATTAAATGGTATGATAATTGGCCCATTTGAATTACCGGGGAATTTAACGGGGCAAAGTTATTTGGAGTTTCTTCAAAATGATCTCCCCAATTTATTACAAGAGGTTCCCGAGGAGCTGAGAGAATCGTATTGGCTGCAAAATGACGGTTGTCCTGCGCATTATGCTGTTCCGGTTCGTGCATATTTAAATAGCAGATACCCAAATAGATGGATCGGACGTCTAGGGCCAATTTTGTGGCCTCCACGTTCACCGGATCTAAATCCATTGGATTTTTTTACTGGGGCTGTCTGAAAGAGGAAGTATACTGTAAGCCCGTGCGGTCTTTGGACGAACTACGCAGTCGTGTCAGAGAAGCCGCATCAAAAATATGCGAGCGACCTTACACTAGACTGCTCAGAAGATCATTGATCAACATCAGAAGATGTAGGGCATGCATAAGAGTGCCAGGCAAACGATTTGAACATTTGTTGTAAATTAACGAAAAATAAAATATTTTAATTTTAAATGTCGTTTTTTATTAATCCCCAATGATCAGACACATTTCAATTTAATAAATGTTCCCATATTACAAATTTTGTTACTTAGTCAAATTTTCTCCTTTTCTACATTAATGGCAATAAGTCACTATTTATGGAAGATACATTTATGAATTATACCATTATAAAATCTACACGAAACCGATATTATTGTAAAATTATTGGTCACCACAAAAGGCAGCAGGTAGCAAATATGAAGGTCACACGACCCATTTCACGCTAGTAAAGTAACCATTTCAAGATTTAAATTGGTTATTTTATTACATTTAAATAAGTTAATTTCTAATACTTAATTCGGTTTCAATTTGTTTAAAAATAGCTGTTTTCATGTATGATCAACTCCTGATGTGTTTTTATTAATTCCCAATGATCAGAGACAATTCAATTTAGAAAATGTTCCCATGTTACAAATTTTGTTACTTAGTCAAATTTTCTCCTTTTCTACATTAATGGCAATAAGTCACTATTTATGGAAGATACATTTATGAATTATACCATTATAAAATCTACATGAAACCGACATTATTGTAAAATTATTGGTCACCCATACATTCATACATTTTTTTCATACCCAAGAAGTTTAAACTTCGCTTAAATAATATTTTTTGCATGTTTTTCAGAAATAAATTTATTTGCGAATTTTTTTAAATAAAAACTGCAAAAGCTATTCATATTGTTTACATTTTACCTATAAGCACAGTTAGTGTATAATAATAATATAACAAAAAACCAATAGAAATCATTCATTTTTGGTCATAGTGTTCAAGACAGTAAAATAAGATAGAAAAGAATCGACTTTTCTTTAAAAAAAATATATCAAAGGTACTACTTGTGATATATTATTTTTCGTATTTTTTTCAGGACGGCCATAAGTTGTACTATAAGATATTTCAAGGTTATCCATTCATTACCGGACACCCGATATATAGAAGAGTTTTCTGAATAAAATACACGTCAAACTCGGCTGTATGTTATAAGATCTTGATACTGACGAATCGTAACAACTACAACAACTAGTCAATTAAGTTTTGAATTGTGTATAATTATTCTATTATATTATTTTCTATAGTAAATTATTTTAAACTGATAACATCTTGTGTTTCAAATTATCCGTTTTTAATTTATTCTGGTATTATTCAAACCAAACTATAAATGATTACTAACTTTAAATAATCGATAGAGATTTTTTTATAATCGAATATTGTACGTTCCCATTTTTTGGTTGGCATGCCTGGTGCAATAAATCTGACCGCTGTGAAAATGTATTTCTTAGATTTGGTTGACTATAACCCATCAGTCACTTACGAGTTTCACTAAACATATTAAGGCCGCATACAGTCTGTTCCTTCATAAATTACTCTTAGTTATACATGGTAACCCTGCTTCTTTGTACAGTTTATTCCAGAATTCGATGCGCTCCCGCTCTGCATATGTGCCGTTTATCGACATTTGTTCGTTTATGTTCATAAAATGTCTTCCGTTCACTGTGTAAGGAAGCCATTTTGTACCTGAATTATCTGGTGTGGGGTTGCTGGAATAATTACAAAAAATATTATAGTAAAAAGGATATTGTGAAAATGATAGAGCTATATATATATATATATATATATATATATATATATATATATATATATATATATATATATATACTACTCGTACGGTTAAAGAATGGGACTGAAGATTGCGTCGCCTCTATTTATCTTTCGCTCGCCCACCGACGCTATCTATACTCACACCCGCCGGTAGAGACTAAAAACAAATATGTTGCAATATGCGATTTTCGTATGTGCTATGACTAGAAGTGGGTCGTTACGTCATTTTCAAGAAACGTAACGTAACCAGTGACTTGGTCGGCGTTATCTGTTTCAAAACTAGTGATTTTTGTAACTGGCTATTTTTTTCGGCTACTGTGATTGTTTGCATAAATATTACCACCGACTATACAGTTACACACGAAACGAAAATAATTTTAATCACTAACTAAGTGTTTGTAGCTATACAGTAACTGTATACTGTTAAATCAATAAATTAACTTCCCTTCATACTCTATTCTGGTTTAGGACTGGCTAAATTAAATGTATTTATGATTGATTTGCGTTTACTATGACACTTAGATTTTCATAAAATTATTAATGCAGGCAAGTCAATTTGATTGTTTATACAATGATTATTGATATTTACAATTTATTTACACTTTTTCAACGTTTTTGCACTTTTATTTACACTGTACAATTATTTTGTTTTATTTCGATTTTATGAATAAACGAGTTCATGACTCCGTCAAAAATGTTTTAAAATTATTTTACTTAAGTTCAATGTGATTCTCGCTTACCGTAATCGACCGTTGAAATTATTTAAAAACAGAGATTACTCTATTTTATTGTCTATTTTATAGTCATACGTATGAAAATTAAAAGTACAATAATACTGTTACATACGCTGTTTTGTTTATTGTTGTATGCCACATGTGCGCTTTGCGTTCGACCGACCGACAGCTGACTCTCGCAATAATCACGGTTAGCAGTAATAAGTAACGCATTTACAAAAATCACTGCCACTTACGTGACGCGTAGCCAGTTACTGTATCTAGTCTGTTCGCCAGGCGAGCGCGCGACATGTTATACTCCCGTTCGCTCGGGTCCGTAATGGCGGGAAAATTTGCAAATTAGCAAATTTTTTGCTATATTGCAAATTTTGCTATATTTTCACTTTGAGACAATATTTATGGATAAAACTTACAGGGATTCTTGTTAAATGTATAAACTATCGAATAAAATTATTTATGGTTGCTAGAAATTGTAATAAAATACGTAAATTACCCTGTATAGCATAGTAGTAGTATATACTTCAATTTTAGTGACAAAATTACTACTAATTTGAATTCTACACTTTTGTTTTTAGAGAAATTTATATGAAAATGTTTGGAAATATGTATATTTTTATGTTTTATGTGTTTCCATTCGTTACTCATACCAAAATATTAAAATATTAAAAAATTAAAAAAAATAATAATAATATTTTATCTGTATGACATTTCGAACAATATTTCAAACATATTTTTGTGTGAATTTGAAATAAATACAACGTCAAGTTATTTGAAATATGTAAGAAAACTATTTTTACTTACATTTTACACTAAAAATAAATGAGAATTTGGAAAATAACACATTTATGACCCAACCGCCAAAATGGAGCTTCCGGATTTTGAAGTACTTTTGGCAATTTACTATTCACTTTTTATACCACAAATTATATATCTACATGTTTACTATATTACAAGGAATATAAAAAAGTATAATACTTTTGTTTTTAGTCCAGACACAAATATAAAATTCTATAAAAAAAGACGGAGCACCTTCATCAAAACGACACGTGGAACGCCGAAAGTTCAGAGTGATTTCTTTTTTTTTTCTAAGAAACATTGCCAGGTTATGGTTTAAAATAAAAGAGCATATCTTTGTCTTTGATACTATTATCTATTGCATAGTGTCTTTGGTTTTGTTTAAAACGAAAAAATAGTTTTTTCATAGGTACACACGTTTACATAATTCTGATCTAATTAGCGCACGACTTGTCAAACGGAAGGATGGTATTGTACGATCAAAAGTGCGCATGGCTTGGTTAACAGGCTAGTGACGTGAAATAACGCCCACGTCTAGCTATGACTTCAGTCCGACCTGTCATTGGCATAAATGGTAACAAAATGCCATACACTAAAAAAATATCCCAGTTTCGCAGATTTGTGAGCTAGACGCGTTCCGACAGTTTTTTTTTTTTTTACATAATTGTTGTTGATTTTGTTAATACTTTTGTTAAGTCGCTGTTATTGTTTTTGTTTATTATTTACTGTGAATCGTTGTTAGTTATTTCGTCTTTGTTGACTTTCTTCTGTTTATTTGGTGTTTTTCTTTTATTATTTTATCTACATTATGTTAACAATTGAGCTTAAACGCGGGAAATTACTATATAGCAATTATAATTTTATAACTTAATAAAGTTTTTTGAGAAAGAGCAAAATCTGGAATGTTATCACTCATTGCAATATAGTAATGCAAAGGCGAGTATGGCAGCAGGATCGTCACTCGAATTAAAAAAGATGGTTTGTACCCAGTTCATCTAGTAGCTATACGTTTGTTTATTATTATTTGAACAAAAATATTGTATTCGATATTCAGTATTCGTTATTTCAAGTGTAGTCCGTTCTTAGTGTTCCGAACAAAAGGGTGCCCCGTATCGTACGTTACATCCTATTAAAGTCATATGGAGGATTTTTCCATGGTTGCCTAACTAAACGAGCGGGTTGGAAACTGCAGATTTTTTTGTTTTTAGTCATTATAAGGAAGATGTTGCTGCCCATCTCCTGATTTGTTTCCCTCTGTCGTCTCTTACGACACGCACGTGGTGATATGGGGTGTAGATATTCTTACACCGCCACCTCTCGGCTCAACCATATTACTAAGTCTATTTGTCTCAGGGTTGTAACTTTTTAATTATCAGTAGGTAACTATAATGGTCACTTTGATGGCAAATAATGAAACGAATAAAATGTTAAAGCTTAAGGGGGTCTCCATATAAGAAATTTGATGACATGAATTTTCCAATTTTTTGTTCCTCTTCTTCTTGTATCTTAAAAATGGTAAAACCATCACCGAATCTATCTATTTTTTTTAATTGTTACTACCATAATACTTCATACTCTATACTTAAATAACTAATAATGAAAAGAAGATATAAACAGTGATACACTTGGTGGCACGGAACCAAGGAGATGGATTATTGTGCATGCAGGTTCAGAAAATGGATTTTTGAAGGGTGCTGAGTTGATTTTTAAGGCCAAATAGAAAAAAACTAATCCCAAACACCCAAATAGCATTGTTTTTTTTTTTTTTTGAATAGGTGACAAACAACACATCCACCTGATGGTAAGTGGTTGCTCGGCCCATAGACATCTACATCTATCCTCCATTAAAAATCAAAATGCTCTTCACCCTACTAATGGAATGCCTCTTTCCAGTAAAAAGGGTCTTCTCTACACTCACCAACGAAATACAGCAGCATTAAGCTACTATCTCACCATTCAGAGCTCCTTCCCCCACCTATAACTATACTACTAATAAACGCCATCTACCACAACATTGTGGCTGAACAGTGGTTGTGAAAGCGATAACCGCTACGATTCTAACAATGATTATGAAGATAACGATGGGATGTCCGGAATCAAAGTGTTCTTAGATGATTCTGGTTAAGGTTCAAGTAGTTTTCAAAGATTACTATATAAAAAATAAATGTTTATAGAGTTTCTTGCCTGACTGTCCTATTTAAAATACATATTTTATTGACTGTTAATTAAATTTATATAAACTTAATTTAAGAAATACATTGTTTTATTTTAGTCTTCGTGAAAAATTTACTAATCTATACTTATAAATAACACAATTTTATCTAAGCGAAGTCAGTGTGGGTTACTGGTAATAAATGTTATTTTAAAATTAGTGTGTCTACTTGTGTATATAATTCTATTCAAATATTTTCCCATTAATAGAAAATTTCAAACTAATCTAATAATATATCTAACGTTTTAATTAACATATAATAATGGTATACCGTTAATGGCGGGTTTTCGTTATTTGTATTGTGCATACTGACGGTACGGGCTCGATGAGCCGCCATATATAATCCCATTTTTTATCCGTACGGGCTATAGATAGATAGGAATATAACCGAGAGACAAAAAATTATATATGTCATTATTTTATATTGCCCCGAGCCCTGCCTCAAAACTGAACCGCCATCTGAGGCAATAAGATCTTTCTGGCAATTGCCATAGTCGTATCTAACAACACCCATGCGACGAAATGGGGCAATGAATTCTCTTAGATCACGCCCACAGACTGCAGGCTAACCAGTTTACATTCCAGTGGTGTTCACAGACTGGTAATGGGCAACAAGGAGGTTTTATTTATAGAATATATAAACTGCAATTCTCCTGGTGTTGCAGTTGTTCATGGGCAGTTAGTCCGTAGTCACTTACCATCAGGTGAGCCGCATGCTCATTTGCCACCTCTTATATGACAAAACAAAACAAGAATAAGGATGAGCACACAGTCCACCTGATGACAAGTGGATGCTGCGGCCCATAGACATCTACATCTATCCTTATTTAAGAATATGCACATGACATGACATGATAATGCAGGTGCTTTGTCACCTCTGAGGACTAAGATGGAATGTCTTGTTTTCAGTAAAAAGTTTATAGTTCTCTACACTCACCATACGAAACATAGCCGTGTTAAGCTGCTATTTTACACTGGTATTCTGTGAGAGCATTGTCTTTCTCGATTGAGCCAAACCAATCATGATACAAACATAATAAAGCTGAAGCATGGTTCTACCATTTATATAGTATAGGGTGTCAGCTTTGCACTCCACTACGTGTCCGTCCAGTGTAGTGAGTGTGGTCAATTTAGCAACACAATTTTAGTAATGAACACAAGTAGGCATACATTAGGTAATGTCCTTATCCAGTAAATTAAAAGAGTGACAAAAAATATAAGATCAAATAATCTTACCTCGTTTTAGCAAAATCGGCCCATAATTTAGTGATAGTGTTAACTAAAACCCTCAACTTTTCTTGCCCTTCGTAACAGTCTTTGTTCATTGGATTGTTGAATAAATAGAACAGCTCATCAACATGAGTAGCACCTTTATAATCTGTATACCCTAACATGTGTTTAAATATATTCAAGTCAGTTACACAATCAAATCTATATAAATAAATAGATTTAAATAAATAAGCGTAAAAATAACAAAATCTATGACAATTATATACAAAATGCACATCAGAATTAATGTCTGACAATAAATCTATATCATTTTCGGTTATATCACAATTTCCCGAGTAAAATCTTTTTATTCTATTACCAAAATCTGTTAGGATATTTAGGGCAACTTTCTCAGCTATTTCTCTAGGCACAAAAAAAGAGGGATTTTTATTTAGAAAATCCAGTTTTTTAACTTGAGGCTTTGCAACTGCGAGACCTTCGGCAGAATTATATCCCACTATAAAAGGTACTTTGTTAATTTTTCCAGCTAATAATAATTTCAATGGCTCTTCTGTCAGAAAAGCTTCGGTATTTTTGAATTGCTTTTCAACAACTGGAGCAAAATGGATCGGCAGTCCCCGATGCTTTTCATCATATGTCATTGTTTTAAATGTTAATTTAATTAATTTGTCAACAGTTGTACTTTGAAAGAAATTCAACAATTCATCTGAGTTTTGACTATCTTTCCCTAAAAACTTAGCTGCTCTTATGGCCCTTTCTTTGCCGTTTTTGCCTTGTGCCCAATCTGATATACACACTCCACTTTGAGCTATTGCTTTATGGAATAAGCCAGTGGACATTGGTGAAAACATGTGGAATGTCACTGCTGCTGCCCCAGCACTTTCTCCAAATATCGTAACATTCCCAGGATCTCCACCAAATTGTTCTATATTGTTCTGAATCCAACGCAGTGCAGCAACTTGGTCCTTCATACCTGCATTCCCGGGAACTTCTGGAGTATCTAAGCACAGAAATCCCAAGACTTCCAGTCTATAGTTTAATGTCACTAGTAGAATATTATGCTGTATTAAGAACTCTGGTCCATACATAAAAGTGTCCCCCGACCCTGACATATATGCTCCACCATGGAAGAACACCATTACAGGCATTTTAGAGTCTCGTAGCAATGACTTTGTGTAAACATTTAGAAATAAGCAGTCCTCACTGCCTTCTTGAAATTGGTATGTTATTACATCAACCTGTGGGCTTACTGGGCCATGCTTGATAGCTTCATAGGTACCTACCCAAGGTTTAAGCGGTTGGGGTGCCTGAAAACGTAAAAAACATAAAGTCACTATACTTGTTGTTTAGATTTTTAATGATGATAAAGTTAGATAAAGGGCGGCCTCCAACTAGATGGAGTGACGACCTGGTAAGACATGCAGGGAGTCGATGGATGCAGGTGGCATTCATACGAATGAATGGAAAGTTACAATTTTATTAACAACTAGCGATCTGCTCTGGCTCTGCACGGGTGATTTCTGGATCTCGACAACAGTGCCACCTACCGGGTCCAAATGTAAATATAAACCATATAGGGACCCATTCAAAGGCACACAAAAAAATTCATAAAAATAAGTTGGACGGTTTCAAAGTCTATAATGAACATAGATAGAAACATTTTTTGTTATATAAATAGTTTAGAACTTTTAATAAAATAATACATATCTACAAATATTTTAGAATGGTAATTATATCAAAATAATATTATTAAGCAGGGGACTTGAAGTGCAGAGTCAGAGTTATTTCTGCACATTCTCTAGCTATGGAGTGTTGGTAAAGCAGTGAACTAAGATTAAAAAGTGTAAGGACATGATTTGTTAGCAGTTTTCAATCAAAAACACAATAGCATGTACATTAAAACTCTTTGTCTTTATATTGGTTGGTCTCATATGTCATTCTAGGAATGCATCACAGTAAAATACAGTACTCTGTGAATAAGGTGATCACTACCAAGCTATTACACATTTGTTTCGTGTTGTTCATTATTGTGATAGTTTAATGATAGTAACCTGTTTCTTTTTCAAAAACATGTCACGCTGCATTTCTTGCTGGTTCTTCTAGGACAAATTATCCAAACCACTGGTAAATTAAACATAAGAGTGACTTTCAATAAGCATTATTTGTAAACTATATTGAATAAAAGTTTATTTTCATGTCTTTTAAAATATTATGTATTATCTTTAGCTGTCTCTTTCTTTTGTTATTTAGTAAAAAGACAAAAAGCACGACTGTACTTATGTATTTTTTATGGCACGATTTTAGTCAGATTATATCGTTTTTCTCAGTTATTTTCATACAATTATAAAAATGGACCAGTCAAGTACTTAGGGACATGAAACAGGCAGCCATAATCTCTAGTCGTTCTACGAATACAGCGGGTTCTGAATATAAATCTTCCAAGAAAATTGCGATTGTCAATAATTAGAGTTCTTGGGTCAGATGCACCAGAAAATGTAAGGAAAGAAAATGAAGCAAAGGGAAGTCACATCTATCCTTCAAAACTAAAGTGCAAGACTGCTTACAAATGTGAGACTTGTATAAAACATGTGTTACTACAATGCAGCAAGCATGTATGCAAAGAGTGTAAACTTTCATAATTCCTATTCCTATAGTTTAATGCCTTATGATTTCCAAGAAGACTGTTGATTTTTGTATAATTTGTATTGTTTATCTAGTTATTAATCTTTAAGGCAAAAATGTTGTCAAGAGAAAATTATTGTTTAATTGCTAAAAGTTAAATATTAAGATAAAGGTTAATTTTTTCCCCCAATAATTTTAGACTGCAATAATTATGTTTTTAATTAGTAATAAATGTGAAAACTTCTATATTTTGTTTCACTTATACAATAACTAGATATATGAACAATATATACAATTTTTTTTATTAGAACAATATCATAAAAATAAAAGATTTCGTTAGAAAAGCTATGGTGGTCTAGCAGATGTCACGTCCGTACTTATGTAACCAAAATAGCATGTCGGTACTTAAAGGTTAATTGAGCACTTATCTCCAATTACTATATATTTATTACTATATAATAGTAATTGACTAAAACTATTATATTTATACTATATTATTATCAGGTGTACAGGACTGTGGACTATGTGCTTGTTTGTAACCTTTATTCTATAAAAAAATGCTTTTTTGAAAAAAGAACATGAACATAAACCTGATTGTAGGTTGATGCTGTGGCTCATAAACACCAAATCTATCCTTAATTAAGAGTTAAAATATAGATGTATTGTTAACCCTGAGGACTAAAATAGAATTCTTTGTTACCAGTAAGAAGGATCTTTAAAATAATTACTATAATTACCATAAACCGGAGTTTGCCGACAGGAGGCTGAGCATACGGAATTCCCTTGAAACTATAGTATGGAGAACCATCATACAGCTTTTGTACAGAGCCAACCAGTTTGCCTTGTTTTATTGTCACTGTTGGACTGCTCTGAAACAAAGATGATAGTAACCTTAACTTTCAAATAGCTTGCTACTCTTTGTGACAAAAGTGTCAAACAATAAAACCTTGGCTTAAAAGTGGCTTATGCAGCTATAGACATCTGCAATTGACTTGAAATGAAGATGTGTTGAACGAAAGGACAAGATAGAATGCATCATAGCCTGCATTTTCTTTTCACCATTCACGACACAAGTATAAATAGGTAAGATGATGGAGATTGGTAAGTACGGAGGTAGGTCTATATATTTTTATGTACTATAGACATGTATATCTTTATAGCACTTCAATGCTTCATGATGCATTGGTCCACAGTTGTATGTTACTAGTTTAAAGTCACCCACTGGGCTGGCGAGTTATGCCACCATACTTTTTTTAATTTGTTAATCCGATTACAAAGGATTCGTTAAAATGTAAAAAAATTGGTTAGTGTACAAAAAACAATTATTGCAGTTTGGTTTAGATGGAATATTATACATAATGGCATAATATTTACTCTATTTCATTGGATACAGAATTTTGAACTCAATAGTGCCTCCCAACAAAAAGGTTTTAAGAAGAAGATGAACAAATATCATGTGTAACATCCATGTTGCACCTATACCAGCAGTTGTTGGGAGCACTAGCCTCGAAGTTGTTGATGAGTATCTTTACCAGGGACAAATAGTCTGACTAGGTAAGTACAACTTCGACTGAGAGGTCAGATTCAACTCTGCTGGGCAGCATTAGAGAAATTACGACACATCTTCTTGTCAGGTATACCTCAAAACTTGAAAAAGATATTGTACAACCAGTGCATGTTGCAAGTGATGACTTATGGATCTGAGAAGTGGTTCTTCACTGCTGGCTGTATGAGGAAGCTCAAGGTCACTTAGCAAGCTATGGAGAGGGCTAGGCTCGGAGTTTCTCTACATGATAAACTTAGAAATGAGAATACCCACAGAAGAAACAGAATGACTGACATAAACCAACAGATTAGTAAGCTAAAGTGGCAATAGACCAGCCATATAGCTAAAGAACCGGCAACCGATGGGGAAAAAAGTTTCTCGAGTTGCAGCATCATACTGGTTAGCAAAGTTTAGGGCGACCCCCCACTAGGCAGAGTGACAACCTGGTAAGACATGCAGGAAGTTGATGGATGCAGGTCCCTCAGGACTGGGTACAAATGTATAATAAATGAGTTAGTTTAGAAGGCTGTGGCAGGAGCGAAGCGCAGAGCAGCTGCCACAACAGCCATCTGAAAGGATTTCTGGGTGCTCAAGTATTTCTAGGCAGTACAGAAAAATAACCAGAAAGGCAGTTGCGGGAGCTGCACTGCGCTTCACTCCCACCACAACTTTTTAACCTAACTCAACTGGATTTCTGGGTGTGAAGTATGTAATAATTAATACTTTTATGTTTATAAATCTGTAATGAAAATGATGATGATGATTAATATTTCAAAGAGTTGTTTTAACCCCATGATGATGATGGGGCAGTAACACTTAACTACTTCACATCAGATAGGTTTTTGTTCCCTTGCTACTTTGACCTAGATATAAATAACAATATCTTATCACACAGCCGAACTTATTATGCACCTATAAATATTCTTTTCTTGAACCAGGCTTAGTCTTTGTTATCTTGTCAATTAGCATACAAAAGAACAGTGAAAAAGAACAAAGAATACAATAATCACACATTATACGACTAATGATGTTTGTAAATGCATTTAAAATTTTAAGTTTTAAAAATAGGTACTTATTGTATCTGTTTACCACATACATGTTTAAAAATATATTGGTATTATTTGATCTCATACTATTTATATATTTTGCTAATAAATTCATAGCTCTTTTCACCAGTATTTATCAAAGTAAGATAGCTGTTAGCTTAGAAAACACTTTAGTAAAAAAGTAATAAGAAAATTTACGCTAATGTTTCAACTTACCATGGTGGTGCGAAATACTTGAAAACTGCACTCACTTGAGAAGTGTCCTCTTAGTAGTCTGTGCTTGAGAAGTAAACTTATACTGACCAAAAACATAATAACATGCCCATTAACATTTTTTGTGTGTACCTGTTTTTATCGCAAATTTTTTCCTAAGATTTCAATATTTAGTGAGGTAACGTACGTGTAACATTAATATCGTATTTTCGCCCTTTTAATTATAATGATTAAAATGTTTGTTCTCAGTGAATACTAATTAAAATCATAGATAAATAAATATTAAAATATTCTTTTCACTTTTCATTTATTTGCTGATAAAGTCGTACATCGTACATAGACATATAGCAACAATGATAGAGGAAAGTAATATATAATAGTGTTCTGTGGTAATATATGTCAACTCTGCATAGATTACTGTATATATACCAACTCTGTATGGACAGAATGAAATACCTACGGGGGCTGAATTTTATTATTGCCATTTGTCAGATAAATGTCTTGTTTCATAATTAGTAAGATTTTGCTAAAGATAAATTACACTCAAAAATTTTGAATACAGAAATAATAATCAATAGGAAGATAACTATGCCTGTCGTATTTTTCTACATGATTATATTAGCATATCCTTGACAGTAAAAGAAAAATAAATGTTTTCTTTTTGTTTTGATTTTCAATGAGTAGAAAATTATATTTTTTACTGGTAACACCAAATACCTAAATGAGTATATTAAATTTCTCTTTTCTCATAATATGGCGCCGCCGTATAAATTATTGTTGTTCATGATTGGTTGTTATGTTTGTTTTGCTTGTGTCTTTTACTGAGATTTTGCAAGTTTACGATGTTGAGTTGAGATTAATGTCCTTCGTTTATATGATGTGCAATGTGTTAGTCAATGAATCGTAGTGAAATACGAAATAGTGACTCTTAAAATCTACGCTGCAATGGCGGATAAAGAAAATAGAAAAAGTGTTCTAAGTGCAACAGCATACCAACCATTGACAACGTTAAATTATTTAGGTTTCCGAAATTCGCAGTAAAGTATATTTTGCGGTACGTATACGATATACATATACACTATTTAATAAGTTCTAACCTTAAAGTAAATCTCTTGTCCAAGTTATTGTTTCTCTTTTACCATTTAAAAACAAATTATTGGTTTGTAAAGCAAGTATACGTAGTAAGAGCGTACTAGAGTAAGAGCAGTATACTACTTTAGCTTTCCAGACAAAGCTACATAATAAGCCCAGAATGCTGTGTTAAAAACATTTTCATGATGGTTAATTTGCATAAATGATGCAACCAAGAAAAAGCTCTTAAGCACTGCAGTCCCATGTGATGTAAGTAAAGTGTATAATGTATATGGTAATATAATATGTATATAGTTTTCTTTAAGGATTACTCAGATATTTTATATGGGAATTACTATATTCAGGAGTGGACTTTGATAGACTGTAAAGAAGATGATGATGATTATTCATATGACCATCATCTGGATCTAACATGGATGGACAGACCACATACAGTAGTTTGAATCCTGTTAATTCTTTCAACTAATTTATAATAATTGGATCGGACAAAGCATCCAAAGGATTGAAGTCTATAAAGTTAGCACAAGCCTTTCCTTACATTATTAAAAGTGCAACACACTGCATATTATTGTTAACAATCAAATTTTATTTTAAAACAACAACAAACCTTAAGAAAGTTCCAGCATCACAATATATGAATAATTTACATTTGGTCCTAAACCTATCAAATTTAAAGGCACAACTTGTACAACACAGTAGAAATACATGCATCAAATGGTTCTCAAACAATAGATAAACACAAGATTTTTTTTCACATAGTTATTGTATTTACTATCTTATTTTGTTATATTAATTGTAATAGTGGGTGTATTATAGAGCAAGTTGGATGAACAAGATCCATTCATTTATTTTGTATTGGTAGAAGGGTAATGTAGTGCCATGAGTAGGGACTGGTTTACTATTAAAGTAATGTCAATGAAGATAATGTTAATGTAATTGTATATAATAATTTTATGATACTATAATTTATTTCAGTTTTTATTTATTTCCAGACTAACAAAGTGTATTCCCATTTTATTTTGTGGAATCACAAGCTGGTCCCTCGCAAATTATTGCTGCAAAACCACAAGCAAGATCTTCAAAAAGGACAACATTATATCCACTGAAGAACAACCACAAACATCAAAGCATAACACATAATGTTGAATCTGAAAAAAGAAAGTACGTATCTCTATATGAAAATTTTTAAAATGAAATAAGGAATATTTTTGTAATCTAATATTTAATATGTTTTATAATTTTGAATTAAAATTATTCTATTTATAAGCTGCATTCAATACTTAATATATTGCATATAATATAGAGACAAAATTTTTAATGTCAATTCAGGGAAATAGATAGACAACCAAATATTATCAAAACAAAATTATTATTTGTGAATGTTGCACTTTGCACTTGTGTGTAGGAGCTTATTTATTAATTAACTTGTTTTAGATTAAAATATTGATATTTTGGTTATTGTAGACAATAATTGTGCATATTATCAATTCATCCATTATTGTAAATCTTATTTCAATTCTTTATCATTGTTTACTTAAGTAATTGAAATGTAATCATTATTGATTTTCTTTTCATGTTTAAACCCATCAAATGTCTTTATAGAAAGAACTAAGCTGCTGGAGAAATTGTTTCTTAAGTTATGTATGTTTTTTATTTCAATTTATATTTTTATTTTGAATAAATAAATAGAAATTTTGTAATTTTTGTTCTTTTATTTAGCGCTGGGATAGGAAACCCAAAAATACCTAATATAAAAAAAACAAAAAAGACCACATTCAAATTTTCCCGCCACACGAGAAGTGCAGGAGGCTGACGATAGATGGCGCTAGTGGTTATATATCATTTCTTAAATTTTGTATGAAGTTGTCGTTCTTCTCCGATAGGAGTAATAGTGTTCTGTGGTAGTGGCCAATAGCGTTGGCCAACGTGTAGACGGGGTGTTTGGGCTTCATTGGTATGTATTGGAACGATGGCCCGCAAGTTGGCGCGAGATCCGTGTGGTGTCGGTTTTTTACAAAAGATCAAAGGATTGTTGGCGGAGTTTGGTCGCCGCGTCCACACGTTGGCTGCGCGTTTAGTTTGCTACCAGCTCCCAGAGTGATTACACGCATCTGATTTAAATTTTATATTCAAGCTTTGTAGGGTGGATGCCCCAATTACCAGCCTTCTAGTGCCAATTTTAACTTTAAACATTCCTACTACTTTAATTAGCGCGATTTAATTATTATTGAACATTTGTTTTAATCAATAAGCTATTTATCAAAAAAAATTAACGTTTTTTTACAATCAGATTATTACGAGAACAATTTTAAAATGAAAAAAAAGAAGCACGTCGTTTATACGTGGTAGAACCATGCATTTATATTAGAAGTATAGTTGCAGCACGAAGGTCGGCTCGACCGGGGAAGGACCACGCTCTCACAGAATATCAGCGTAAAATAGTAGCTTAATGATGCTGTGTTTCGTATAGTAAGTGTAGAGAACCAGAGACCCTTTTTAAAGGAAACGGGGCATTTCATCTTAGTCCTCACGGGTGACAACGCATCTGCATTTTGATTCATAATCGAGGATAGATGTAGATGTCTGTGGGCCACAGTAACCACTTACCATCAGGTGAACTGTGTGCTCGTTTGTCACACTATCCTATAAAAAAAGGTCGATTTCTTATAATTTAATCGTGCAAGTTTTCGTATCATCATCATCATTGCAGCTCTTCACAAGTCCACTACTGAACATCTTCCTCCACAGACTGCCGCAAAGCATGGTCCTGAGCCACTTTGCTCGTCATGAGTTTTTCATTTATGTTCTAAGTTATAATTAGTACCTATTATTAAGTCAGTGTTAATTATACTTATTTATTGCTATTGTTTTTGTCTTTTTCAAAAAATAATTAAATTATCAAATAAATTGTAAGGTGTTTTTTATATACATCAAATGTCTGATAGAAATGCAAGTACATATTTTGCTAAACTTTAAAATCAAAATCCAATTTTAAAACATAGACTAATCGATTATAACTCGTTTAACTTTAAAATAAGTTAAGTTCTTATTAATGGTATTTATTCCAGTTTATGATGCATGTAAATAATAAATAAAGCTAATCGTATATTGTATATCTATTTACAGCCCCATTAATAACCACTATTATTTTATAATTCCTTTATAAAAACGTTAACCCCACACTAGGATTTTCTCCCGTATCACGCAGGCAGTTTACAAACATAAATTGCACAAGGACATACATCCAGACCCGAAACAATTATTTGTAGGATATACAAATACTTGTTCCGTGCGGGATCAAACCCGCGGCGCCGGGCGTAGCCACTCATTGCTGAGCCACTGCGCCACGGTGCTTATAAATTCGTCCGCACATTGGCCCGAACCGAAGTAAACTGAACGACCTTCCAACGTGTGGACGCCGTCACCAACTCTCGGCCAATATATTCGCCACTACATTCGCCACTGTGTTAGCCAACGTGTAGAGGCGACATTAGACAAAGAGAGGTCTGAATTGGGTAAGTGGGAGAGAGAAGAGCTAAATGTAAAAGAGAACTTAGTGCGTCACACGACCTGCTCGACTTCGCATGTATTTATTTTGTCTCCTTTGCAATTATTTAAATCAGTGTTAAAACGACCACTTGGCTATTTTACCGGACTATTTGTTTTTCTTATTGATTTGAACTTGTTTTGCGTTTGGTGATATTTGCGACGATTTGGCTTGTTTCTGGACTAAACTGGACTTTTGTGTACCTATCAAAATGCCACGTCATCAGTACACGGCACAAGAATATGCAAACATGCATTTTATTTATGGAGAATGCAGAGGCAACGCAAATGCAGCCGCAGCTCTTTATAGGGAGAGGTACCCTAATGCTCCGAAAGGAGTAATAGTGTTCTGTGGTAATATATGCAACAATCCTCCTAAATTCCTGTATATACCTTATTATACTCTTTGGCAACAGTGTTGCCAACAGCGCTGGCCCTAATGTCGCCGATTTTCATGCATGAAGTAGCCTAAAGTACGCCGCATTTCAACTGTAGTAGCCCAAACACCAAAATATCAATATGAATAAAATAAAATATAGTTTTTATCAATTTATTTATAATATGTTCATAACACTGATGAATAGGCATAAGCCATCTTTAGAACACGTTAATGAAATTAAAGTTAACATTTTAAAAACTACATAAACAAATAAACAAAAATTAGGATTATTCTGATTCGTCCTCTGCTAGCAATAATAAGGCATCACCAAGACTTTCGCCGTCTTCAGTAGTAGTTGATGTGCTAGTACTCGCGCAAGATCCACCGGAATTGTATCCAAAAATTTACAATGTCATTAGGAGAAGCAGCTGTTCCGATTATCTCCTCAATGCGCATAGTGCTTAATACGCGCCATTGGTTCATAACAGCTTCTCGGTCAATATTGGGATCACCTAACTGCCAGGGAAAATCTTTAATGTTTTGTTTGCCGGTTGAGAGGCATACGCGGTTTGGTGCAAAAAGTTCAATTTTTTCCACCACCGACACATTAAGCGGTAACCTGTCAACTAATTCTCTTACTAAGCGTACAAAAAAAAGCAGAACATCTTTGCTTCACTTCTTTGGCTTTGTCGGCAGAAACAGTCTTTTTTGCAAGTAAATCATTGAACTTTTCTCCAAAGTCGATTGAGTCCAGTGGAAGCAGTGAATTTTCAAATGGAGCTCCGGCTTTTTCTAAAGCTCGCCTAACAGCTGCAATATCTGCTTCATGGAGCATTGATACAGAGGCATTTTCAAACAGACTTTGACTTCTCAGAAATATTGGTTTGAAAACACGTCTTGCAATGGAAAGTAAAAGAATCCGAAGATCGCTATATATTTTTGTGATATTTGCATCATTTGCTTGATAATATTCACATTTGTTACTTCTTTTAATATCGGAGACAAAAACAACAAATATAATAAATGAAAACGTTAACAACCGCCTTCACATCTGTAGTTATGATAATTAAATAAGCGATTTAATAGCTGATTTACAATGAATTCTATGCAGTATAACATAACGCTACTGCACAATATAACTGTTATTCTTATCTTTTCTTAACAATACATTTAAAATGAAATCATGTTACGATAATTAAACAAGTGAATTTCTAGCTGATATACCATGAATTTTTTAGAGCTTCATAAAACACTACTGCACAATTAACTGTTCTTAAAAATACACTTAAAATAGAATTTAAATAAAAAAGGAAGATACATTTTAAAAAGCGAGCAGAAGTTAAAACACCTCCAAGATTATTCTCTTTTTATGAAATTATTAATCGAATAATAATCGAATCGCTATGGATATTATGATGTTATGATAATTAAACAAGCGAATTACTAGCTGATTTACTATGAATTCTTTAGAGTACAATAAAATGCTACTGCACAATTTAACTGTTATTGTTATCTGTTTTAACAATACATTTAAAATGGAATCATGTTATGATAATTAAACAAGTGAATTTTTAGCTGATTTACCATGAACTGTTTAGAGCATAACAATACGCTACTCCACATTTTAACTGTTCTTAAAAATACGTTTAAAACATAATTTAAAAAAATAAAAAAAATATATTTTAAAAAGCGTGTAGAACTGAAAGCGAAACTCAAATATTATTATTTTTTCATTTCATTACTAATCGAATACAAATCGATATCGTTTCGTTGTATTTATGTTAGTTATGTGGCAACATCAAATCTGACAGCTATAGGAAATATGTCATGCGAAATGAAACCACAATTCAACGAAAAAGTAAAAAGGTACTAGTGAATTCACAACTAAATAGTTGCCATTGTGTTATTTTGTTTGTTATTTCTCAAATAAATTCTCAAGAACTCATATGGAGTGAGATTGTCGATCACATTATAGTGTGACAACAGTTAAAAGTAAGTGTTCAACAGTTTTTAATTTATTAATTCTAGTGCTGATATTTGATAGTGATGAATGTATGAAATGATGAAGTTGTTTTATTTTTTAACATATGCACAAGCTATACCTGACAAACAAAATAGCTTATTTGTAACACGGCGATGAGATTAGCTAGCTAACACTAGATAGTTACGAAATGGACAATTTTTATCAAATACTAAGAAATAAGACAGTCGATTTTTAATTGTGGTAAATCTTTCCAATATGGACCATCGATTTCAAAGCCCATATTTTTTTTGTAGATAGTACTCACTAAAAGAAAGCGTTTTGCAAAGTTTTAAGTTGCGGAAACTTACGGTTCATGAGATATATTTTTTTAAACTTTTCATACAAATTGGTAAATAACACGCAATTACAAAATAAATTTGACAAATGATTGATGTTAAACGTCAGTTAGTGTAGGGTTCCGAATATTTTGAAAGTATCGATACGTACTCGATACCAAGTATCGTATCAAAAGTATCAATACTACTTGGTATCGAGTACATTTCGTTAATTTTGGAGACTGGGGGGGGGGGGGTAAGAAGCCGGGAAGTTGTGCTCCGGCGCTCCGTGGCAGCTCCGGCGCTGCGGGATGAGCAGTGCCTCCGCCCTAGCGTAGGGAAGCACAGGCACCTGGGCTCGCCTTCGCAGCTTCGGCTTTTTGGTCGCCTTCGGGGACCAGCCTCAGCCGCTACGGCGATCTCGGTGCCTGCGCTTCCCTACGGCGGGCGGGCACTGCTCTCCCTCCGCGCCTCCGGGCTTTTATATACACTCTAGGGGTAGGGCAGACAAGACCACGTGGATAGTGGGGTGCTCTGATTCGGTTTTGGGTACTTTTTGAATATTAAATAAGTAAGTCAATAAGTAAGTAAACACTTTATTGTAGTAAGAATTAGATAATACAGAAAGTTGCAAACAATAAAATACAAGTACTAAGGTGGAACTTAAATAGAGTAAACCTTATTCTACTTTATATACATATGTAATTGCACTTATCAGCTCTTCCTATGCATCTAATTGGTTTGTCATAATTTTTCGTCTCCAAAATTAACGAAATGTACTCGATACCAAGTAGTATTGATACTTTTGATACGATACTTGGTATCGAGTAGGTACCTATACTTTCAAAATATTCGGAACCTACACTAACTGACGTTTAACATCAATCATTTGTCAAATTTATTTTGTAATTGCGTGTTATTTACCAATTTGTATGAAAAGTTTAAAAAAATATATCTCATGAACCGTAAGTTTCCGCAACCTAAAACTTTGCAAAACGCTTTCTTTTAGTGAGTACTATCTACAAAAAACATATGGGCTTTGAAATCGATGGTCCATATTGGAAAGATTAGCCTTTCAGTTGCCATCGTCATCGCGTGAGTGTCATGATTGCGAAGAATTGATAAAGCAGCAACACGTTAAACTTTAGAACGGGAACCATCTGAATCATCTAGTCCATCCTTGTAGCAATCTAAAGTGAGTAATGTATTGAACCTAGAACAACAAAGCTTAGATCATACATCATACAATATCATCATCATCATCATCATCATCATCATCACAGCCCTTCACAAGTCCACTGCTGAACATAGGCCTCCCCCAAGTAATGCCACAAAGCACGGTCCTGAGCCACCTGCATCCATCGACTTCCTGCATATCTTACCAGGTCGTCACTCCATCTAGTGGGGGGTCGCCCTACACTACGCCTACCGGTACGAGGCTGCCACTCGAGAACCTTTCTTCCCCATCGGTTATCGGTTCTTCGAGCTATATGGCCGGCCCATTGCCACTTCAGCTTACTAATCCGTTGGGCTATGTCGGTCAATCTGGTTTTACTGCGGATATCCTCATTTCTGAGTCTATCACGCAGAGAAACTCCGAGCATAGCCCTCTCCATAGCTCGCTGAGCGACCTTGAGCGTCCTCATACGGCCAGCAGTGAAGGACCACGTCTCTGATCCGTAAGTCATCACTGGCAACACGCACTGGTTGTACACTTTAGTTTTCAGAGATTGAGGTATACCTGACGAGAAGATATGTCGTAATTTCCCGAACGCTGCCCAGCCGAGTTGAATCCGTCGATTGACCTCTCGGTCGAAGTTGGACTTACCTAGTCGGACTATTTGTCCCAGGTAAACGTACTCGTCAACAACTTCGAGCATAGTGCTCCCAACAACTACCGGCATAGGTGTGACATGGACATTAAACATAATCTTTGTTTTGTCCATGTTCATCTTAAGACCTATCCGTTGGGAGGCACTATTGAGGTCATTGAGCATAGTGCTTAAGTCCTCCAGCGATTCTGCCATAAGGACTATATCGTCGGCAAATCGAAGGTGAGTGATGTACTCGCCATTGATGTTAATACCGTATCCTTTCCAGTCCAGTAGCTTGAAAACGTCTTCCAAAGCAGCGGTGAAGAGTTTCGGGGATATAACGTCACCCTGTCTTACACCTCTCTGCAGTTGGATAGGTTTCGAGCTCTGGTTCTGTACTCGGATAGCCATCGTAGCCCTACTGTACAAACACTTCAGCACTTCAATATACCGACAGTCAACTTGGCACCGCTGAAGGGACTGCAGCACCGCCCAAATTTCGACGGAATCAAAGGCTTTCTCATAGTCCACATACGCCAGGCAAAGTGGCAAATTGTACTCTTCAGTCTTCTGTACAATCTGCCGCAGGGTATGTATGTGGTCTATGGTACTGAAGCCTTTTCGGAAACCGGCTTGTTCGGGAGGCTGGAAGTCGTGCTGCCTAATTTTGTAAGAGCACCACTCACACAAAATCAATGTTTTTTCCTGGTTGTAACAATTCCAATCAACTCACTGTTCCATCAGCATTGCGGGTATGTATTTTTGTGAATACAATTACTATGTACCTCCAGAATGTAGAATCAGTAACTACCATTTAAATAGTAACTCTTGGTATTTACTTTTAGAATTAATATATAACCATATTAAAACATTTAGTGTAGCACAAATTATAGATTTTTCTACATTATTGTAAGATAATATTTACCATCATATAGACTTTGAAAATATTTACAATATGCCCGAATATACTGTACATTATTATCTACGCTTATAAAAGGAACACCAATAAATTCTGTCTGTAGTGCCCAAAATGTCAAGTAAAACATAGTGGATGCTTTGCACTTGCTGTATATTTGATGAAAGTAAGAACAGGAGATAGTGATGAATGCGTATAGGCATTATTGCAAGTACCAAGAAACAAATTAGAGCGGCTCATGAATATGGCCCAAGAAATATTAAATCAGGATGTTGTTCCTATGAATTTTATCCATCGTTACCACTCTCTGTGCCAAATTCTATTCAGTAATTATGATATTATATCTGAGGCAAATAATTTCTTAGCTTTCCTAGATGTTTTTGTTATCCAAAATCCTAACAACATCATAGGTCACACTGTGTATAGAAAAAAGACCCATACAAACTGATATTTAAGCGGTGAATCTCACCATAATCCTTCACAGTTAGTTACCATGAGCAAATCTTTGTTACAGAGAGCATATGGGATCTGTGAGAACAAGCACCTGGCCGCGGAGCTTCAGCACGTCAAGCAGGTTCTGCACAAAATCAAGCTTCGTGTCCCACGTCTTCGTCACAGTGACCGAGTGAAGCCGACCGCAGTTGAGCGTGTGCCTGCTGTACTACCGTATGTCAAGGGTGTCACCCCAACCAGATAGACATACATCAGATTTGATAGACCACAAATCCTCGTTAAAGAACATTAATTCCTACCAAGGATGATATGTGAGGCTACTGAAATTAAAAAACATCCTAATTTCAGTAGAGAAGGCGGTTGGGTACTACCACCTGCTTGGGACACTATAATTAATAAAATTAAAACAAACCCCAAGCATACCACTGCAAGACTTAAAGATAGAGTAAGTTCAATCTGCGTAGATTGGACTATAAAAATAATAATAAAAAGCTGAAGGTACTCCATGTCCCAATACTGACATTGGGATGGCAGTCACCTCAGTACCCCGTGACCATGGGTGCTATAAAGCACCTGAAACGTCAGGAATTAATAATAATAGTATAATAATAATATAGCCATTTATTTCCGAACTTTGGGGTTACATAATATTTGTGTTTGAGTTCCTATTGTAATACTAGTTAAAGTAAGTCCCTCTGTTCGGTGTGCCTTTTGGCATAGGCCTCCAAAAGAAAAATCACGCGTCGGGAATTAAAAGTTAAAGAAATTAAAAGCAATAAAATTGGTAAAAGTTGTCGTTAAAAAACTGTATTTGTGAAAATAAAAAGCTTTATATCATAAAAATCCCGACTTTTTTTAAACCAATTCCTTAACCATTTCATTATTTTAATTGCATATTATCATTTCCATATGCTTTTATATGTGGGCACCCATGGCCGAAGTGTCTATGAACAGTGGGCATCCCCCTTTGTATCATCATTATACATGGCAGCAAGCTCCCTTGCTGTATAACATCTTTCTGATGATTTCACCACATTAAAGTGAGTTTTTAGCTCAAGCCACTGATTGATGTTTGTTTTAACAGCTGAATGAAACGCCAGCCATCTAGTTGCGGATAGCTGAGTTAGTTTCAAGGGTTTTTTTATCATCAATAATGGTTTCAAATAAGTATTTATATAAATATATATTATATTTTCATTTGCAGTGGACTGTGGGAAAACCAATTTCTGGTTTCCCTAAGTAAATATTCCAGACAAGACGGTAATTCCGTACACGCTTTGAAGGCACATAAACTTAGGGAGTGACACACACATTTCAATAGCTGTAAATGGGGTATATCTGCTTGTAAGAGAGTAAAAAGTGAGTTATGTTTGCCACAAAGATTACTTGCTCCATCAGTTCCTATTGCAATTAGATCTTGGAGATTCAAACCCATTTTAGACATAAAACTCTTAAATGATGTATATAGGCCGCTAGCTGTTGCTTCAAATACTTCCTGAAAGCCTAAAAAATCAACAACTATTTTTTCTAGTTTTGAATTATAGTATCGGATGCAATATGCCATGTACTTTTCTGTTGTTACGTCAGTGGATTCATCCAGTATAATAGAGTAGCTCTGGTTACCAACTTCTTCTAAAAGTTCCTTGAGCATGGCTGGTTCTAGAACATTTTTTATAATGGCCGAACACTTTGATCTATGTAATTGAATGGTTTTCAAGAGGACTCCCTGTCCCACAGGTTTTTAACACATCTGTCAGATGATCAACGCTGCGTATGGAGCTGTGAGCAGCGACATAGGCAGATATTTGTATGTCTATTATTTTTTCTTTTCATGAACTGTTACTAATTGAGGAGTAGCTAAATGATGCAAGCTTCGATTGCTTTTTAGAAAAACTTAATTATTTGACTTTATGTGTTTTAGTTTTCATGTGCTTTTCTAAATCCGTTTTGTGCGCACGGAGTGGTGTGATACATAATTTACAAAATGCTTCACCTTTACCACTATCCGTCAGTACAACAGGTGCTCGACTAAGCCAATCTGTAAAAGAAATTGAATATTTCATAGGTCAAACAAAGAGATCTATAAAAACCCGCGTGAAGGAACATATAGCTGATGTGAAGCACCGACGCTCCGGGAAGTCTGCAGTCTGCGAAACATGTTCAAGATCGTCCCCACCATTACATTAGATTTGATAAACCACAAATTCTCGCAAAAGAACACCGATTCCTACCAAGGATGATACGCGAGGCTATTGAAATTAAAAAACATCCAAATTTCAATAGAGAAGATGGTTGGGTGCTACCATCTGCTTGGGATCCTATAATTAACAAAATTAAACCCAAACCCAAGCATACCACTGCAAGACTTCATGATACTATAAGCTCGTTTTGCGTAAATCGGACCAAAAATTAATATTAAAAAACTGAAGGTAGCCGGACTAACTATGATATTGGGACGTCAAACATCTCAGTCCCCCCCCCCGTGACCATGGGTGCTGTAAAGCACCCGAAACGTCGGGATAATAATAAAAATAAATTAAAGTAATTAAACGCGATAACATCCGTAAATAATAGTTTTATTCAATGTGTAGTGTTCGCGTAAATTTAAGAAATCATTAAAAGAAATTAAACTCAATAATACACTAGGCAGTAGGTATGCATATATTGTATGTACCAGATAGGTATGGTACTAGTGGTTGATAATCAGATCATATTTCTTGCTATTTGTGCAGTTTCAGTCTACCCAATACATCTTAAATAGTCTGGGTAAATATTATAAAAATGATTGTGAAACCAAAAACTACGACTCCTAATTTAGTCTGGAACACAGGTCTGGAAGTAGTAAGACCATGTAACAGATAATATACCTACCTACATACACAAACTACTACTTTATTTACTTACATTTAAATGCTGGCAGTTTTTCCCATTCATCACGATAATACTTAATATATTTACCATGTTTACCCATTTTACAAAACAAGCACAGGAGAAGTTTTACAAAGCCAAAGTAACCAAGGAATAACCGGAATTTATCTGAACTATCTAGTTAGTACAACACAGATAAGTGCGGTGACCCACGTCAGGGGGTTTTCATGCTGGTCTACCTTTCCGGTGATCCTGTTATGGAATACGGGTACGCGACCCCGGCTCCCCGAGCTACGGTTATTCTCATACCTTTCCTGCCGAGACAACAGTATCCTTACACCTACGCTCCTAAGGAGGAGTACGCAAGTGAATTTAGAGAGCTAGTTGTAAACAAGATGATAGAGATGGTTGATATGGAAGGAATGAGTGTGAATGAGTGCTGGAAGGAAATGGCTGATTGTATCCGAAGTGTGGCAAGGAAGGTGTTAGGAGAAACAAAAGGGAAGCGTATGATAGATAAGGATGGGTGGTGGTGGAGTGAAAGTACTGGAGAAGTTTTGAGAGAAAAGAAAAATGCCTTTAAATAATGGCAGAGCGTAGAAGACCTTCGACCACCTAATCCTAGGCCCACCCTACACGTTTCCCCCGGGTGGTGCTAAAAGAGCGACAAAGCCGAAAGAACAGACTCGGCTACTCGCCGTGTGGTAGCGGCGTAAAATATGCCACGCCCTAGTTTTCGCACCATGAGGCAAATAGTAAAAGAAATGGCCCCGAGTTCCCGGCGCCCCTTTAATGGGGCAGGGGTGCGAAGAATCTCCGGGAGGAAAACCGGCGACGAGGTTCGCCACCCGTCACGTTCTGTCTCCCAGGGAGGCGAAAAGTGGATTGCAGAGGCCCGTCTGGCTACGTTGAATGTATGTGGGGCAATGAATGATAAAATGGATGAAGTATGCGATATGATGTATGATAGAGGAATAGATGTTTTATGTGTAAATGAGACGAAAAGGAATGGGAAGGATGTCACTACACATGGCATGTATACCGCATACTGGTCTGGTGTAGACGAGATCGAGCGGGCATGCCAGGGTGTAGGTATCATCCTTTCAGAAAGAATGAGCCAATGTGTGAAAGAGTATGAATGTGTAAGCCCAAGACTGCTATGGATACGAATGAAAGTGGGCTTAAAGAAGTTGTTTGTGTTAGGGGTCTACGCCCCAGACATGTCTAAGCCCACTTATATCCGGGAACAGTTTTGGGAAATGGTAAGGATGGTGTTAATGAAGTTTAAGGGAAATGAAAATATTATAATGCTAGGAGATTTTAATGGAAGGGTTGGGGTGAGGAGGCTTGGTTATGAAGGGGTATTGAGAACGTTTGGTGATGAAAGTATAAATGAGAATGGTGAAAGCCTCCTCACCGTATGTGTGGAAAGGAATCTTTTTGTGACGAACACTTTCTTTCGTCATAAGAAGATTCACATGTATACTTGGGAAAGAGGTGATGATAGAAGCATGATAGATTTCATAACCGTGGATGAAAGAATGAGGAGCGCAGTGGTGGATACAAGGGTTTACCGGGGGTCCAACGTAGGGACGGACCACTACCTGTTCTTATGCCGAATTAGGGGTTTATTCAGACGTTGGCGGCATAGGACATCTGTGTCTACCACTGCGTTACAGCGTATAAGAATTGAGAGGTTACAAGATGAAGATGTGAAAGACAAGTACAAATGCAGAGTGAGAGAAAATATAAGTAATTTGGATGAGTTGTGTGTGAATGAGTTAGACTTGGAGAATGTGTGGCATAATGTTAAGAAAGGTTTAGTGGATGCAGCTACCGAAGTATGTGGTGTTAGTAAGAGAACGAATGAAAGGAAAGACAATACGTTATGGTGGGATGATGAGGTACGTATGGAAGTTGAAGCAAAGAAGAGAGCATGGCTAGATTTACTAGCGACCAAAGCTGGTAATTCTGGCGGTAAGAATGATGAGAATGAAAGAAAAAAGGCTGAGTTTAAACGTTTAAATAAGAGAGTAAAAGAATTAGTTGAAAGGAAAAAGCAAGAAAGAACGGATAGGAATGATAGAAGAATATCGGATAACTTCCAGGCAAATATTAAAATGTTCTGGAAACTCGTAAGAAATACCAGGGGACTTTCAAAACAGCCTAGATTAAATGCGATACGAGACGAGAATGGCTGTATCCTGAATGATGAAGTGTTGAGTCTAAAGAGATGGAAGGAATATTTTGAAAGCGAATTTATGAGTGAGGAGAAGTGTGAACTAAATGAAATAGAAATTCCGAAAGAAGATGAAAGAGATAGGGAGATAAGTATAGATGAAATAATGAAAGCAATGAAAAGCATGAAAGTAGGTAAGGCAGCCGGATATGATAGAGTTTCACTCGAAATGCTAAGGCTGGAGAGGACGTGGTGGCAGGCCTGCTGTACACCTTGTTTAATTTATGTTGGGAACTAAAGCGGGTACCGGGAGACTGGTGCAAAGCCGTGATAGTCCCAATATATAAGGGAAAAGGGTCACAGCAGGACTGTAAAAACTACCGTGGTATCAGCCTTCTTAGCATTGTGGGAAAACTGTATGCTAAGGTACTAATTGAAAGAGTTATGAAAGAAACTGATGAAAAAATTAGGGATGTGCAAGCGGGATTTAGAAAGGGAATGGGGTGTACAGATCAAGTCTTTTCCATGCGCATGATCGCGGAGAAGTTTTTGGCGAAAAACCAAAAAGTTTTTTGTGCGTTCATGGACTTGGAAAAAGCTTATGACAGAGTGGACAGGGATGTGTTATGGCAAACGCTGAACGCATTTAGGTTGAGCGCTGGTTTGATACAGGCATTAAAGTCTCTGTATAGGGACTCGAGTGCTTGTGTTAGAATCAACGGGGTCTACTCGGACTGGTTTGGCATTCATAAAGGTGTCAGACAGGGCTGTGTAGCTTCCCCGTGGCTGTTCAACCTATTTATGGACAGCTGTTTGGAAAATTTGAAAGTTGAAAAATGCGGGTTAAGAATGGGTGAGTTAACCATCAAATGCCTTTTGTACGCCGATGATCAAGTCATACTTGCGTCGTCGGCGGCCGAGTTGCAAATGATGGTTACATTAATGAACAGGTCATTAAAAGAAAGGGGAATGAAAGTGAACGCAAGTAAGACGAAAGTGATGGTTTTTGAAAGAGATGAAAGCAAGACGGTATGTGAAATAAGAATAGAAGGAGAGTTAATTGAGCAAGTGGATGAGTTCGTATATTTGGGATGTGTATTCAGCAGGGATGGGAGATATGATAAGGATATTGAACGACGAGTGAATGCAGGAAATAAAGTAAATGGGGCTCTACACTCTATTGTGAAAAGTCAGAATGTGTCAAAAAAAGGCACGTATGGCAATTCACAGTGCTGTATTAGTCCCTACTTTAACGTATGGTAGTGAAAGTTGGGTGTGGCAGAAGAAGCACGAGAGTAGAATAAATGCATTAGAAATGCGGTCGCTAAGGAGTATGTTAGGGCTGAATCTGAGTGACAGGGTGAGAAACTGTGTGATAAAAGAAGAGTGTGGTTTGCAAGATGATGCGGTGACCAGGATTAAGAAAGGAATGCTTCGGTGGTTTGGTCATGTAGAAAGAATGAATGCGGAAAGACTGACAAAGCAAATATATGTTGCAGAAGTGAATGGAAGAGTCGGAAAGGGACGTCCTAGGCGGAAGTTTGTCGACCAAATTGGCGATATACTAAAAATGGGCCAAATTAAGAGTACCCTTAACCGACGAG